CAGATGATTAATAGGTAAATTCCTCACGTGCAGCACTTTATTTTAGAATTTTTGGGGTTCCAGATCTTGCGTTAGATACAGATTACTACAGACTGTTCTGTTTTTGACAGATTCTGTTTTTCGTGTGTTGATTGCTTATTTTGATGAATCTATGGCTAGTAAAATAGTTTATAACCCATAGAGAAGTTGGAATAGAGTAGGTTTAACACCAATATAAATAAAGAATGAGTTCATTACAGTACCATGAAGTGGTCTTTTGTTTTCTTTCGCTAACGGAGCTCACGAGTTTTCTATTTTGAGTTTTGTGTTGTGAAGTTTTCAAGTTTTGGATGAATTCTTTTGATGAATCATGGAACAAGGAGTGGCAAGAGCCTAAGCTTGGGGATGCACATGGCACCCCCAAGATAATCCAAGGACACCAAAAAGTCAAAGCTTGGGTATGCCCCGGAAGGCATCCCCTCTTTCGTCCACTTCCATCGGTAATTTACTTGGAGCTATACCAACATGATATGTGTTTTTCTTGGAGCGTCTTGTATTATTTGTGTCTTTGTATGTCACAATCATCCTTGCTGTACACACCTTTTGAGAGAGCCATACATAAATTAAAATTTGATAGAATACTCTATGTGCTTCACTTATATCTTTTGAGCTAAGTAATTTTGCTCTATGTGCTTCACTTAGATCTTTTAGAGCACAATGGTGGATTCGTTTTAAAGAAACTATTGATCTCTCATGCTTCACTTAAATTATTTTGAGAGTCTCTTAATAGCATGGTAATTTTCTTAATAATAATATGCTTGGTATTCAAGATTTCTGAAACTTTCTTTTGAGTGTGTTGAATACTAAGAAAAGATTGAAGCATGATAATTGTTTTGAGATATGGAGGTGATAATATTAAAGTCATGCTAGTGAGTAGTTGTGAATTTAAAGAATACTTGTGTTAAGGTTTGTGATTCCCGTAGCATGCACGTATGGTGAACCGTTATGTGATGAAGTCGGAGCATGATTTGTTTATTGATTGTCTTCCTTATGAGTGGCGGTCGGGGACGAGCGATGGTTTTTTCCTACCAATCTATCCCCCTAGGAGCATGCGCGTAATACTTTGCTTTGATAACTTCTAGATTTTTGCAATAAGTATATGAGTCCATGGTTATACGCACTCTCACCCTTCCACCTTTGCTAGCCTCTCTAATACCGCGCACCTTTTGCCGGTATCATACACCTACCATATACCTTTCTCAAAACAGCCACCATACCTACCTATTATGGCATTTCCATAGCCATTCCGAAATATATTTCCATGCAACTTTCCACCATCTAGTTCATCATGACACACTCCATCATTGTCATATTGCATATCCCGGTACACCGCCGGATGCATTCACATAGAGTCATATTTTGTTCTAAGTATCAAGTTGTAATTGTTGAGTTATAAGAAAAATAAGTGTGATGATCATCATTATTAGAGCATTGTCCCAGTGAGGAAAGAATGATGGAGACTACGATTCCCCCATAAGTCGGGATGAGACTCCGGACGAAAAATAAAATAAAAAAAGAGGCCAAAGAAGCCCAAATAAAAAAAAGGAGGCCATAAAAAAGAGGGAAAGGCCCAAATAAAGAAAAATGAGAGAAAAAGAGAGAAGGGACAATGTTACTATCCTTTTACCACACTTGTGCTTCAAAGTAGCACCATGATCTTCATAGTAGAGAGTCTCTCATGTTATCACTTTCATATACTAGTGGGAATCTTACATTATAGAACTTGGCTTGTATATTCCAATGATGGGCTTCCTAAAAATTGCCCTAGGTCTTCGTGAGCAAGCAAGTTGGATGCACACCCACTGAGTTTTTTTTTGAGCTTTCATATACTTATAGCTCTAGTGCATCCATTGCATGGCAATCCCTACTCACTCACATTGATATCTATTGATGGGCATCTCCATAGCCCGTTGATACGCCTAGTTGATGTGAGACCATCTTCTCCTTTTTTTGTCTTCTCCACAACCACCATTCTACTCCACTATAGTGCTATATCCATGGCTCACGCTCATGTATTGCGTGAAGATTGAAAAAGTTTTGAAAAAGTTAGAGTATGAAACAATTTCTTGGCTTGTCGTCGGGGTTGTGCATGATTTAAATACTTTGTGTGGTGAAGATGGAGCATAGCCAGACTATATGATTTTGTAGGGATAACTTTCTTTGGCCATGTTATTTTGAGAAGACATAATTGCTTTGTTAGTATGCTTGAAGTATTATTATTTTTATGTCAATATAAACTTTTTTCTTGAATCTTTCTAATCTGAATATTCATACCACAATTAAGAAGATTTGCATTGAAATTATGCCAAGTAGCACCCCGCATCAAAAATTCTCTTTTTATCATTTACCTACTCGAGGACGAGCAGGAATTAAGCTTGGGGATGCCTGATACGTCTCCAACGTATCTACAATTTTTGATTGCTCCATGCTATATTATATACTGTGTTGGACTATATTGGGCTTTATTTTCCACTTTTATATTATTTTTGGGACTAACCTATTAACCGGAGGCCCAACCCAGAATTGCTGTTTTTTGCCTATTTCAGTGTTTCGGAGAAACGGAATATCAAACGGAGTCCAAACGGAATAAAAGCTTTGGGAACGTGATTTTCTCACCGAACATGATCGAGGAGACTTGGACCCTGCTCCAAGGAACAAAAGAGGCGGTCACGAGGGTGGGGGGCGCGCCCCCCTGCCTCGTGGGCCCCTCGTTGCTCCTCCGGCGTACTTCTTCCTCCTATATATACACACGTACCCCCAAACGATCAGAACAAGAGCCAAAAACCTAATTCCACCGCCGCAACCTTCTGTATCCACGAGATGCCATCTTGGGGCCTGTTCCAGAGCTCCGTCGGAAGAGGGCCATCATCACGGAGGGCTTCTACATCATCCTAGCCCCTCCGATGAAGTGTGAGTAGTTTACCTCAGACCTTCGGGTCCATAGTTAGTAGCTAGATGGCTTCTTCTCTCTCTTTGAATCTCAATACAAAGTTCTCCCCCTCTCTTGTGGAGATCTATTCGATGTAATCTTCTTTTTGCGGTGTGTTTGTTGAGACCGATGAATTGTGGGTTTATGATCAAGTCTATCTATGAATAATATTTGAATCTTCTCTGAATTCTTTTATGTATGATTGGTTATCTTTGCAAGTCTCTTCGAATTATCCATTTGGTTTGGCCAACTAGATTGGTAGTTCTTGCCATGGGAGAAGTGCTTAGCTTTGGGTTCGATCTTGCGGTGTCCTTACCCAGTGACAGAAGGGGCAGCAAGGCACGTATTGTATCGTTGCCATCGAGGATAACAAGATGGGGTTTATTTCATATAGCATGAATTTATCTCTCTATATTATGTCATCTTGCTTAAAGCGTTACTCTGTTTTTAACTTAATACTCTAGATGCATGCTGGATAGCGGTCGATGAGTGGAGTAATAGTAGTAGATGCAGAATCGTTTCGATCTACTTGTCACGGACGTGATGCCTATATACATGAGCATGCCTAGATATTCTCATAACTATGCTCAATTCCGTCAATTGCTTAACAGTAATTTGTTCACACACTATAGGATACTTATGCTCTTGAGAGAAGCCACTAGTGAAACCTATGGCCCCCAGGTCTATTCTCATCATATCAATCTCTATCACTTTAATCTTGCTTTGCTTTTTTACTTTGCTTTTACTTTTTTACTTTGCATCTTTATACCAAAAATACCAAAAATATTATATCTATCAGATCTCACTCTCGTAAGTGACCGTGAAGGGCTTGACAACCCCTAATCGCGTTGGTTGTGAGTAGCTATCGCTTTGTGCAGGTACGAGGGACTTGAGCGTGGGCTCCTACTGGATTGATACCTTGGCTCTCAAAAACCGAGGGAAATACTTACACTACTCTGCTGCATCATACCTTCCTCTTCGGGAAAAATCAACGCAAGCTCAAGACGTAGCAGCGATGTAGGCGGATCAGGTTGGCGCCGCTTGGTCACGCACGCAACCATGCATTTCTCAAACCAGGGCGACCTCCTCTGACGCCCGTCGGGTCAGTAAACTGAAGCGGCAACCCATGGTGACCTTCACAGTGGCGCTCGCACTTTCAACGACGCGCATCGGGAGAGTAACTTGCATGGTGCCTACGACGCTGATGAGCTTCAAGCTCGGCATGGCGCGAGAGTTGGGATTTGAAAGCATGAGAGTCTGGCCAACCAGTGCATCAATTCGTTCATGGGCCGCACGAGGCTTTAGGAGCTCTGACGTGACACACTGACACTGAAGAGCTACGGCATCGGTGAGAGTGTGGGGGTGTGGCGCAGCGATGGGCGCAGGTAAGGTGTTTGACAGAATTACAGAGAGAAATATTATAGTAGCAGTGAGAGAGGGGTATTAGCTACGTCAACAAAAATAGGACTGATACGGTACTGGTGACCGTAGAGTGACATGCCTGGGCAACCTCAGTGACCGTATTTTAAGCTTTCCTAAATACAGTGATGGAAATGAACCCTAGGGTTAAGTTTAAGTATCGTAGATGTAATTTACTCGTCATCTTTCCTCATTGTTTTCGTGAAGCAAACTCAGTTGCTCATGAGGTAGCAAAGTTTAGTTTCTATAATAAAGTTCAGGACAGTTGGACTAATGAACCTTCTAAGTTCTTAGTTAGCCAATTAATGAATGATGTAATTATTTTTGAGTTTAATAAAGCTAGCCATGATGGTCTTTTTAAAAAAAACAGACCTGACTAGTGTTACAAAACAAGGGCGCTGCTAGATTAGATTTGCTGATACTCATTTTGGTGGTTTGATGCACAGAACTTAAAAAAAGTTAAACTGTAATCAAATTTCAAATTTCAAGCAGGGGTCATGTCTTTTATGAATACATCCATTCAGCTCAACGAAACAGCCTGCATTTCAGTATTTCACTCCCTAGGGTCCAGAGTACAGCCTGGAGTGAATCTCTGGAAGTGACATGATTCACCCTATGCCAGCTTGACGAGCTTCTTGCCGACATTCTGGCCGCGGTAGAGCGCGACGAAGGCCGACGGGACGCTCTCCAGCCGGTCGGAGACGTCCTCGATGACATGGACCTTGCCCTCCTCGATCCAGCCGCCGATGATGGCGGTGAACTCGTGGAACTTGGTGATGAAGTCCCAGGCGAAGAAGCCCCGGAGGGTGATGCGCTTGTAGATCACCTCCAGCAGGTCCGGCACGGCGCGCCGCCCGGGGTCGGTGTACTCGGCGATGACGCCGCAGACGGCCACCCGGCCGTAGGTGTTCATGTTGGCCAGAGCCGCCTCCAGCATCTCGCCGCCGACGTTCTCGAAGTAGATGTCGATGCCGTCGGGGAAGTGCCGCTTGAGCGCCGCCTTCAGGTCCGGCTCCTCCCTGTAGTTGAAGGCGTCGTCGAAGCCCAGTTTGTCCTTGAGCAGGTCCACCTTGGCCTGCGTGCCGGCGCAGCCGACGACGCGGCAGCCGGCGAGCTTGGCGAACTGGCCGACCAGGCTGCCGACGGAGCCCGACGCCGCCGACACGAACACCGTCTCGCCCACCTTCGGCTTGCACACCTCGTAGAACCCGCCGTACGCCGTCATGCCGCTCGTCCCCAGCGCGCCCAGCTGGTAGGACAGGGGGAAGCCGGAGGAGGCGTCGACCTTGGACATGAGCATGCTGGTTTCCGGCCGGAACACGCTGTGCTCCTCCCAGGCGAGCATGCCGGCGACCACGTCGCCTTCCTTGTACTCCTCGCACGCCGACGCCACCACCTCGCCGACTCCGTACGACGCGATCCTCTACACGCATTGACAACCGGAGGAAAAGGAAAACGTGAGCAAGAAAGAGATCACGGCCGGCTCGCCGCTGGTCGGTGGTGGACCGATCGCTGACTAAATTACCTCGCCGGGCACGATGACGTCGACGGAGTGGTGGGAAGCGCTCTGGCGCTTCATGCGGTTGAGCTGGTAGGGGTCGATGGAGACGTACATGTTCCGGACCAGGACCTCGCCGGACTCGGGCGTCCACCGCACCGTCTCCGCCTTCACCTCGAAGTCGTCCACCGACGGGGAGCCCTCGACGTGGTGCCTGACGGCGACGTACCGGTTCTCCACCTCCATGATCGATAGATCGGCCGATGCAAACGCACCCGGGAAGAAGGGACAATAATGTGTGTGATCGGCAAGAACAAGTGGTCGGTGTATATATATTCAAAAAGCTTCGTTGGCGGGGTGTTGGGGATAATACAATGTTTGGATGCCGTTCGTTGAGCCCGAGGACGAGGACAAAAATGTTAGAGGATGCTGTGGTGGGGGTTTTGCAGATGCTTTCCTAGGAAATTTGGACGCATCCATCGGACCATCACTATTCTGTATAAAATTGTAAAACCAACGAATCGAACATACTACAACTGGACCATATGTAGGACAAAAACACGTGAGAACAACTAGGAATTAATCCGATGTGACATGGGAGCTTTGGAGCCAAGGGTAAATTCTATAAGGAACTGGACTATATCTGAACCTTCTTCCTTTGGGTAATGTCGCAAGAATGATGTCTTGTAATTCGGCCTTTGGCCTAGTTTCCTGAAGAAGAAAAAAATCTATAAGCAACTGGACTATATCCATACAAGAACCATGGGTAATTCTTGGGGGAGGAAACAACACGGATTCTCGCCTACAACACCTCGAATGGCCCGGGCCCAGGTTTCCGCTACAGCGCATCAAAGCGCACAGTACACCACAACGTGTCCGTGCTTTTATCTTGTTTAGAAAGTAGTGTAGTGTAAAAAACGCTCTTATATTGTGGGACGAAGGAAGTACTAGATCTTTGTCCGTGCGTTACAACGGGTGTAAATATTCTATAGCACTCGCTTCATCCTCATATAAGTGTCTTAACTTTGCACTAACTTTAATACGAAGATGTAGTGAAGTTATGACATTTATTTTGGAACGGAGGGAGTATATTGGTGTGATGGTTAAATAGTTGATTACCGTTTGGAATAAGTGGTTAGCTATCTCAAAAACAATCAACAACTCAAAAAAATCATGCATGTGATTTGATTTTATATGGTGATCACTCATTAAGAACTTATTGTCTTGCCAAAGAGAACATAATTTTATTTGATAAGTCAATAAAAGATGAGAGGGGAGGGGGAATGTTCGACTAAGGACGAGGTGGAGGACAGAACCTTAAGTTCTTTTTAAGTAGAAGAGATTTCTAGATACATGTATTCCAAAATTTAATGTACTTAATTTTTATAAAAAATCATAAATTTTAAAACCATTATACAATGTTAAAGTTTGGTTAGCATAATTTTTTTTAAATACTGATAGCATTAAAAAATTGTGACATTTAGAAAAATCATGTGTTTGAAACAAATGTACGTGACTTTTTCTAAAAATAATTATACAATGTAAAAAAATGTTCTTGTAATTAAAAATGTACATTACATACATTACACTTTTAAAAATGCTCATGTGATTCAAAAATATGTGTGTGATATTAAAAAACGTTTATACAATGTAAAAAATGCTCACGTAGTTTAAAACAACGTTTTGCAAATTTAGAAAAATGTGTGTTACTTTGTTAGAAAATGCTCAGGAGTATCAAAAATAGGTCTGTCCCATTTTAAAAAGTTTGTACATTGTAAAAATAATAATATGTGCATAGTTAATTAAAATGTTTCTTATCATTCAAAAATATATATTTTCACGTATATTTGAAAAATGCTTAAAACATTTTCAATTTTTTGAAATATGAATTTGAACAATGTTAATCATGTATTTGAAATTTTTTAACGTGTATCAGACAAATGTTTTAGATATATAAGAAAAATGTACAAGTGTATTAAAAAAGTAGACATATAATGAAAAAAGGAAGGGTAGAAAAAAACTAATGAAACCTGAAGAGAAAGGAAAAAAACCCGCCAAGGATTCTAAAATCAGTCTAACCCGGTCATAAAAGCTGCCAAAACCGTTCTACTGGGCTATCCCACAAAGGAGAGCCACAATACCATATATTAAATAAAATTATCCCGCACAAGGACTTATGTACAAGAATGAGAAATTACAAACAAGTCCTCGAAGAAATAATTTTCATCTTCTATCGACATCCATCGACGACGTGCCGTGAACAGAGCTCATTGCCGCCTGTGGGCATCTGTCTTACTAATTAATCTTGTTGATACCCAAGAGATTGTAGAAGCAATGACCGAGAAGTCGTTAATGTAGACCAGAAGACGCATGTGACTGCAATTTGGAAAAATCGTCGTCCCAGAGAAGATAGCATCGAGGAGGGCCAGACGACAATACCAACTCCAAGGGAGGAGGGAGACACAAACCTGACAAGTTCTCCGATGAAGTTGTATTTAGTTAAGCTTCATTGGACAAAGTTGTATGTGGTAAGCTTCATTGGACGTAGATAGAACCGGAGATCAAAAACACGTTGCAACCTTGTCCCCACTGCAAATGTTGTCGTCGTGGACAAATGCTAACCATGCCAGACCTAATTTCTAGCGACCGACATCGTCGTCCGACTCGTCGACGCCCCTACAAGGAAGTGCACCGATATGGGGATAATTGAGGATCCATTATGCCCATCACCGTCACATCCCCAACTTCACCGATGACGGGTAGCTCAAAACACCTACAAGACACAAAGTGAACACGCAGATACAAGGCCCTCCCACCCTCCCACCGCTGTAGTGGCTCGCGGGGAGCAAGGTAACCCGTGGCAGAAAGCAGTTGCCTCCTGATCACCTTTAGCCTGCTAGCCCTAAACCACAATTCATATGTGGTAAAACCATGTAATCCTACAACATTTTTTTGTTTCCTTTGGTTTTCGTCCATATTTGTGCGGATTTTTTTAGCCATTTCATAAAATGAAACAAATGACATTTTTTGTAAATCATAAAAAATTCAAATAAGTAGTGCTTCAAGGCGACTGATACAAGTAACTGAGAAAGAAAGGGGCTCTTGGGAGCAGCCCCTATCTCACACAAGCGCCCTTATCCTTTCCTACCTATCTTTGATAATCTTTTATACTTTTATATTCTAGGATGAATGTTTTTAGTCCTTTCTCACTTTATTTGCCCATGTCTTCTTCTACCCTGAATCAGTGAAGAGGGCATGGAGCTACTCGTGATACCGCGCATTCAAAATCGATATCAAGAAAATTGTAAAGCTTGTATTGGCTGATTTGCCGCCTTAAGTAACAGAATCTCTCTTTACCCCACAAAAAATATATAAAAAACTCTTTGTATTGTGTTGCACATCATGCTTGAGCAGATCTCAGACTCTAAGTGCTCATGTGAATGATTCAACTCACATGGTGTGTGTTCATCAATCTAATGATCGTACTTGCCATTTTTGTGCATTGCAATCATGATTCGGAAAACCTTTTTTACTAGAAGTTGTCCAAGAACGAGGCACATGATATCTAACTTGGTTGCTCGGCCAACAATAGTTGTCACCTGGCCGCTACTGGGAAGGGTAAGGAGAATCACGCGAGGCCAGCTGATGGATCTGGGAATTCTACTTGTGCTCTTTTTATCTTCACCATACTTGTGCTTAAACAATCTCTCTAACATATGTTACTATTAGTTCCTTCTTGGTTGGCAAAACAATTAAGTTTTGATATTATCATTTCATGCTCGATAGACATGAGACTTTTCTAGTTCTTCGAACTACATCAATTAGGTCTTTAGAGCATCTATAACTGGACGCCCCATATCCACCCCAATGCCATGTCGGCCTGTCCGAACAGAAAAAGCCATTGAACTGGACCGGACAAATCTAGCACAAACATCTGGATTGATCGGCAACCCCCATACCCGGCCCATATGTGTCGTGGAATTGTCACGACAGATGTCCTTTAGTGTCAGGACTTAGTCGCGAGGCCAATGCATCTATATGGTAGCTTGAGAGGGATTGAGCGGAATCGAGAGACGCAACATAAAACAAGGATTTAGACAGCTTCGGGCCTTGAGAAACATCATCCGGTAATAACCCTATATGCTATTTGTGGCTAGGTCTCATTATGATCATGAGGGAGTCGCCGATAAGCCGGATCTCCTAGTTATGTCTAGCCTAGAGATTATTTCTTCTTAACTTGTCCCTCTTTGGGGAGCCCTGCCCCTCCTTATATAAGTTGAAGGGGCGGCTTACATGTAGAGTCCTAGTAGGATTAGAACTAACTTATTCTCTATTACAAGTCGGATACAAGTACGTGTCTTGCTTCCTTGTAAAGGAAATATTCCTCATGCCTTTCGTCTTAAGCCGACCCACAATAACATGAGCTGGCCCACTGGGTCTTGGGCCTTTATCATTCGTCTGACCTGCATGGGCCATCATTAAGTCGCCAGGCTCGTGAGTCGTCACACCAGTGAACCGCCAGACCCGTGAGTCGCCAATCCTCCGGCGGGTTACGATGAAGCGCCAAGTCCGGCCAGGTCATACTTCCGGACGGGTCATACCGCGGGGTATATCCCCGACATTAGCCCCCAGTTTAATTTAGATTTATCCATGTTAAACTGACCCTGTAAAAGAAACACAAGAACAAACTTGATAGGTTGTGCTCCGGGTTAAATATTTTCCTGAACCGGCACCTGATCATCTTTAAGTCCTTGTCATTTTCTCCTGGATGCATACTCAAAGATCTTATAGAAAATCTCTTTTAACAGATATGTCCAAACCTTGCCAATGCAAAAATCTAGATACTTCTTTTGAGAAATCCGGGTCAATAGGCCAGCTTCAGAATCAATTTGCTGACATTGGTCTCTTGTAGAGAAATATTGTAAGAAATAATCCACTTGAATCGGTTTCCAAAGTGCCGGCTTAAAAGATATTGGCCTTGAAATACTCATCTGACTTTTAGCCGGCTTGTAGAACTAGCCGGTTTATCATTGCCAAAATATACAGTTTGTAAATATTGATAGCACCGGGTCATGATTGTTGTCAATGTAGGGTCATAATTATTGATGACGTCGAGCTATGATTGTTCCAGACATCGGATCATAATGATTGGGGATGCCGGGTCAATCTGATTTGCTCAAAACTGAGAATTCGAAAGTATTTCTCCTTATATCCGTGTTACCTGTAGCCCCCAAGTGCCGGGTTGT